GAGATTCCATCCAATTTTGAAGAAGCTATTGAGAATGAAGAAAAGGAGAGGTGGTGTAATGCCATGGGTGATGAGATGAATTCTCTCTTGAAGAACAAGACTTGGGAGTTAGCTAAATTGCCTAAGGGTAAGAAAGTTATTGGTTGCAAATGGGTGTATGCCAAGAAAGAAGATGCTGATGAGAAAAGCAATGTGAGATTCAAAGCAAGATTAGTTCCTAAAGGGTATGCACAAAAGGAGGGCATTGACTACAATGAAATCTTTTCTCCGGTTGTGAAGCACTCCTCAATTCGCATTATGTTAGCTCTTGTTGCAGTATGATCTTGAGCTTGTGCAACTCGATGTGAAGACGGCTTTCCTACATGATGATTTGAATGAAGAGATCTATATGTGTCAACCGGATGGGTATATAGTGAAAGGGAAGGAAAATTTGTTTTGCAAATTGAAGAAATCACTTTATGGCTTGAAGCAATCTCCAAGGCAATGGTATTTGAGGTTTGATAAATTTATGAGAGGCCAAAATTATTCTAGAAGTCAATATGATCATTGTGTGTACTTCAAGAAGTTGCAAGATGAGTCTTTCATTTATTTATTGATATATGTTGATGATATGTTGATTGCCTCAAAGAATGTTGAAGAGATTGAGAAATTGAAGAAACAAATGAAAAACGAGTTCGAGATGAAGGATCTTGGTGAAGCGAAGAAGATCCTTGGCATGGAGATCACTAGAGATAGAGCAAAGGGTTTCGTCAGTTTGAATCAAAGACAATACCTTGAGAAGTTGATTCGAAAGTTTGGAGTTCATGATTCAACCAAACCGGTTAGTACCCCTTTGGCTCCTCATTTTAAATTGAGTTCTCTACAGTGTCCTAAAACTGATAAAGAGAAGCTGCAAATGAAAAATATACCATATGCAAATTTGGTTGGTAGTTTGATGTATGCAATGGTATGCTCTAGACCGGATATTGCTCATGCAGTTGGCATGGTGAGTCGATATATGCATAATCCAGGTAAAGAGCATTGGCAAGTAGCTAAGTGGATATTGAGGTATCTCCATGGTACTCGAGACGTTGGTTTATGCTTTGAGAGATATGACTCTGGTATTGGTCATTTTGCAGTTGGTTATGTTGATTCAGATTATGCAGATGATCTGGATGGAAGGAAGTCTACTACAGGCTATGTGTTTACTATGGCTAAAGGACCAGTTTGTTGGAGGTCCATTTTGCAGTCGTCTGTTGCCTTGTCTACTACAGAGGCTGAATATATGGCAGTTGCTGAAGCTATAAAGGAGGCCATTTGGATACATGGGCTGATTAAAGATTTGGGGGTTGATCAGAAGCAGGTGGAGGTACATTGTGATAGTCAGAGTGCCATTTATTTGGCTAAGTATCAGGTTCATCATGCGAGGACCAAGCACATAAATGTGCGTTATCACTTTGTTCGTGAAATTGTTGGTGAAGGGGAAATCATTCTCCAGAAGATTCCAACTAAAGACAATCCTGCTGATATGTTGACTAAGGTTGTTGGTGTCGCCAAGTTTGTTCATTGCTTGAACTTGGCTCACATTTTGCCTATATAAAGAAGGCGTTGAGCAGTAGGAGTTTTTTGGAGCATTTGGCTCGGCATGAGTTGTTCTCTTGCTAGTGTTGGGAGTGATGTTGTGTGTTAATTGTGTTGGTTGGCTTATCATGGCGTTTTTCGGAACTTGGCCAAGGTGGAGATTGTTGAATAAGTGGCCAAGTGGCTATTAAACAAATCAAAAGGAAAAAAGACAATATAATTATGTCCCTTCCATGTTTTGGGGAGGAAAACATGGCACTTTGTCTAAAGTGAATTGTTTTGGCCATAACACCCGTGGGTTTTGGTTTTTAATATGGGGTTGTTCCCTTTGGAGAAATGAGAGAGAGAAGAGAAGAGTGCATCAGAAAACAGAGAAGAAAAAATAGAAGTGGAGCATCCCCTCTTTGAAGAGAAGAAGAAAGTGCTCCTCTTTTTGGTTAGTAATCATCCACCAAGGTAGTTGTTGTTGTAATAGCTTTGAGCTATATGTATAGAGAAGAAATTATTCATTATATTTCTTTCTCTATTTGTTTCTGTGGTGTGTGAGAGCTATTGGGTGTATTGGGTTATTTGGGTTGTGAGATTGCCAACACTTTGTAAACTCTCATTTGGTTGATAGTGGATTATTGGGTGAGCTCCTACTGCTCCGAGGACGTACTCCAATTACACTGACTGTTGAGGAACCTCGTTAAAATCTTGGTGTCTTTAATATTTTGTTCTTGCATTTTCATTTGATAAATTTCCTGTGGGTTAGCTTGAGTTGGTTCCAACGGGTTTGGTGCTATCCTAGCACAACACGAAAGTCACATAGAGTACGTAAGGCAGCTATTCTACCAGATTTTGTGTATCTAAATGAGGCTGAACACTATGTAGCTGACGATGATGATCTCATATCTTACAATCAATCCATCAAAAGTATTTGATCGGCGTTGTGGAAACAAGCCATGCATGAGGAATTGGAGTCCATGGAGAAGAATAAAGTATGGAGCCTAGTTCCAAAACCGATTAGGATCACAAAAACTGTTGGTTGTAAGTGGGTATTCAAGACGAAAAAAGATTCACAAGGTAATATAGACAAACACAAAGCAAGGCTAGTGGCGAAGGGCTTTACACAGAGAGGGAGTTGACTACAATGAGACTTTCTCTCCAGTCTCGACCAAAGATTCCATGAGGATACTTCTAGCACTCACGGCTCACTTTGATTTCGAACTACATCAAATGGACGTCAAAATATTGTTTCCAAATGGAGAACTAGAGAGAGATATTTATATGCATCAGCCACCAGGATTTGTCGAAAAGGGGAAAGAGTCAATGATTTGTAAACTAAATAAGTCTATTTATGGTTTGGAACAGGCTTTGAGGTAGTGGAACAAGAATTTAGATCAAGTGATGATGGCTTCTGGCTTCCAAGAAAATAAAATGGATGAATGTGTTTATCCCAAGGTCAGCAGCACCAAGATTATATTCTTAATATTGTATGTGGATGACATTTTATTGGCTAGCTTCGACATGTCTCTACTGCAATCAACCATTAATATGTTGACTCAAAGCTTCGACCTGAAGGATTTAGGGGAGGATCAATTTGTTTTGGGGATAGAGATTATCAGAGATCGTGCCAAGAAATCCCTTGGTCTTTCACAAAGACAGTACATCGACAGGGTCACCAAAAGGTTCAATATGGAAAAATGTTCTAGTGGCGAATTGTCCATTGGAAAGGGAGATAAGATGAGTCATGAGCAATGTCCCAAAAATGAATTAGAAAGAGTAGGAATGAAAGACAAACCCTACGCATCTGTTGTAGAGAATCTGATGTAAGTCCAAGTATGCACGAGACCGGACCTAACTTTTGTAGTGAGTGTATTGGGTAGTCTTCAATCAAACTTCGGTGCATCTCATTGGGTTGTGACTAAGAAGGTGCTGAGGTATCTTAATAGAACTAGAGACATGCTAACCTATAGTCGCGTGGATAAGCTTGAGCTGGTGGCATTCTCGGACTCTGATTTGGCAGGATGTGTGGATGACAGGAAATCAACAAATGGGTACATTTTTCTGTTAGCAAACGGTGCAGTGTCATGGAAAAGTTGGAAGCAAAAGTGTATAGCATCCTCAACTATAGAGGCTAAGTTCATAGGGTGCTATGCAACAACTCAACAAGCTATTTGGCTTAGGAACATGATGAAAGGATTGATGATCATTGATGACATTGAAAGGCCTCTCATGTTGCATTGTGACAACAAAGTTACAGTTTTCTTTTCGGTGAATAATAAGAGGTCTTATGCAAGAAGATTGATGGACATAAAGTACTTGAAGGTGAGGGATGAAGTGAAGAAAAGCACTATCGATGTAGAGTACATAAACACAAGTGTTATGGTTGCTGACCTAATAACAAAGGCTTTATCTGTGGGAGTTTTCAACAAGCATGTCTTTAACATGGGTGTAAAAGAGTCTTTTGATTCAGTTAATGAGTGGGAGTAAGCACTCAGTTAACTGCATTAAACTATTTTTCTTGTGTTTATTGTTGTCATTTGCATTACAATTCATAATTAATTGATTCTGATGATTTGATCCTATGACTAATTTATGTTTCTTCAAACAATTTTGGTACTGAACGCATTTTTCAGTTTGTTCTGAGGAACTAACATCATGTTTAGTTGGTTCCTGACTTTATGACTCTAATGGCAACATAGTGTTTCAAGTTTAATATGTATGTAATCATAGAGCGCGAAGTGCAAAATAGAGTGCACCTTGTTTTTTCTATGGTTCTGTATTTTGCTTGAAATGACAGGTTGCTAAGAAGGGTAGTTGTATGCTCTTGTAAGCTCAATGATCATCATGAGTCTTATTTTATTGAGATTCAAGTGGGAGAATGTAAAACTTTGGTTGAATGACAATGAGTTAACAACTGGATTTTGCTTGACATTCAAGTGGGAGAATGTAAAACTTCGGTTGAATGACAATGAGTTTACAACTGGATTTCTTGAGTTACACGTAACTTGTTATACAAGTTGCATGAGACACAAGGAGTCTGAGAGTCTTGATAGGATAAGAGTCATGGAGTTTAATTATGTTGCAGCTGTCTAATTGAAGTCTTCATCTTGTGTATGCTGAGGAATAGAGTCATAAAGGGATATGGCTTATCACTCTACTGATAATAGGATTGTTTGAGTGAAACCCTTAGAAGAGGTCCCTGCTCCCACACTACCTGATTCTCGAATAAGCTAAAACCCTATTCATTTGGTAGAGAGTGCCGTTGTGTGTTGGAAGTAGAAGTCTGCTTCTTGTTGTTCTTCCAATGGCGTCACCTTCTAGGTGAGTTGTTCTTCCGATGTGCTTATTGTTTTCTAGAATAATTCTGTATCAATTTATTTTGTATAGGTAAGATCCTAGTAATGCGGTCTTTCCAGTGTGATTGTTGACACTACATGCCTAAACCCAACATATGTAGGAAACACATAATATCATTATAGTCCTGATAGTATTGACAACTATGGACATAACGATTTCCGATAATCTATTACATGCTTTCAAATTCTCCAATTACAATTTAACAAAAGGAACTAATACCGATTCGTGTTCATGCCAGCAAGCCATAAGTGATCGCTACTTATATGGATCAACTTATTCCTTATGTAATTTGACTGAAAAAAAAAGAAAAAAAAAAAAAGAAGCCATAATCAAACTTGACAATACTGAAAGTATCCAGGCAAATTCCTTTGGAACAATTCCTTCCTTTTGGCTCAATTTCCTTCCTTTTCGCTCAATTTTCATATGATCCTGCAAGGAAGTAATAAATCATGAGTTTGATGATTATACATTAAGGGTATGTACATCTGTTACTGGTTCCGTTTCAAAGTGCTGGAATGTATCTATCGATCGGATAAGCTCCTAACAACAAAAATACAATCACAACGCAACCATATTGGAGTTAATACGAACTGCAGTGTATAATATATGAGTGACCTTTAAACAATCAACCATCGGACAATAAATGTGTGCTACTTGTAAATATTCAGTATTTAATTAAATTCGCTTGAAGTCAATTTTAAACTGCTGTGTGTGATTGGTTAAATTTGTGTTACTTATGTGATAATCTGCTTTCTTTAGACATTCTATCATGTTATTGAATTGTCAACTGTAACTATGATCATGTGTAGCCACTTCGTGCTAGTATTTCTCTTTTCTTGTAAGTACAGAGTTTTAGATTCGAATCTCATGAATAGAGTTTGATACCAATTTATTTTCCTCATCCCTAAGTTTTAATATATCATTGTATTAAAAAAAAATATCAAAATGTGTTTGGTTTTGTAGTTTTACAAAATAACATATTAGATTGCTTACCAAGAGAGCATAGTTGCAATATATATGTGTGCACACATGTATAACTATAATTTCATTTGGACACATAAAACTGACACACTTGTAATAGAGGTGGTGAAGATGCATTATCTTTTTCTGTGTGTGTGTATTTAATTTTTATTTTATTCTTTATTTTTGGTTTTGCAAGTTTTAGAGTTCCACAAATGTGGTATGTTATTAGAGTAATGCGCACACTTACTACATTTTTTATACTATATTTGTTCTAGCTCTCTGGTCCCATTTCTATTAGAGAGTTAATACAATTGTTGTATGAAAAATATAATGAAAGTAGCATTTTTGATGATCTAATGGTTGAAAAACAAACCTTCAAGTTTTCAGCTAAAGTATCTAGCTATTTAGTTTTAGAATATCGGTGTATATATGTGTCTGCGAGCGCATACAAAACCTACAAAAATATACTGCAGAGTGTGTTCTGTGCTCATCGCCAAAGCTACATGGAAAAGATGGGCATTGACTTTTTAGGCTCGTAGGATCATGAATTTACAGCATGTATTATAGTCCAATCCAAATATGTTGACAAAAAATAGCTGCATTAATATATAGTCATTAAATAAGGAAGCATTCATAGTTGTATGTGCAATACTAAAGATATTACGTATTCAAATGAATTCAATTAAGGATGGTGAAGAAGAGTGTTGTCCTTACACAATGACGTGGGTTCAAACTCCTTTGGCTCCCGAATCTAATATTTAATCTAACAAATATATCGTTTGACCAAAAAAAAAAACCAATTCAAAATCAATTAACAACGAATAAAATAGGTAAAAATTTAAACATATAATTCAATACTTCAATTTCCAATACAAAATACTCTGAAGTCTCATCAACGCATGCTAGATCATTGATGCATCTTTAGTTTAGATTAAACGACACTTTTTGTTGATATACGAACTTTATGTAGGGTATGCATAGTACTCTAATTTAAATGTTTGTAATTAAGAATGCAAATTTCACATGAGTTTCGCATGAAATGAGAGCAACACAAATAATCAAACCCTAGTAAACCTTGGTCTTAGAAATTGCGAACACGTTTTCTGTAATCTGTGTTTGACTATTAGGCCAGGAAATTCATAGTTATATGTGTGTGTGTGTGCGCGCGTGTGTGTATGTCTTTAGACGAAACACGTGCAAATAGTATAAGATTTTCTGTAAATTGCAATTCACACAACTCTGAGTGAGAGATCCATTTAACTCTGAGCTATCAACCTAATGCATAAAATAATATGAAGTTCCTATGAAAACCCGACAAAGACATGTGAAGTAAAAACCTTTGAGCAGCATAATCAGACTTTATTTTAATGTCTTTTTACAATTTTTTTCCTCTTCCCACAGTGTGTGTGTGTGTGTGTGTGTTTGTAATAAGCCCTTGATCATGATGAAACGCTACGCAACAGAATCTTGTACTGCCGACAGCAAGCAAAAATGAATTGGTAAAGGAACATAAGAATGGGCGTATAAAAGAAGACTAATTAATTATTGTGTATAACTGACATTTTACGGAACTACTAGCTGCACTTATAAAAGAAGAGCAATTAGTTGTGGCATTGATCATCATGGGTGTTATAGATTCGCTATGATGACCTTTGTTAAATTAAAACCAAAAGATAGAAAAGCAGTAGAAAAAGATGGATGAACGCCAAAAACTAATAAAATACGAATGAAAGAGATTTGTGAAAACCTTAAACCTTAATTAATCATATATTTCAATCATTTGTCTATATTTTTGAATTATATATCCTGACGTATGAAAGTTCGTGATGATATATATTTCTTGACAAATAATCGTGGGGCACCAAAAATTTGCAGAATCAGCCAAATTAATGAAAAGCTACAAATAGATAACAATTTTTAATTAACGTACGACAGTCACAGTGGAGATTGCATCGTGAGAATGTCTCAGAGAGAGAGAAAGAAGAGGACCTGAGGAGAGAGGGAGAAGTTGGAGAGAAGAGATTATTGTTTCTGATGTTATTACAACGCGATATAGGTGGAGTGATTTATTATTGGTTAAAGTTACTGATCACGATCAGAACATTATCACTCAAATACTAATTTGAGTATATCAGTTCAGTTAGGGTTTTAATTTTTTTCTTCATATATATGTAGTTCCATATCAAACCAATTTACAGTCCTTTGACTGCACTCCATCTCACAAGTTTAACTGTCTTTTTCTCTCTTTTTAAGTATAATTTTTGGGGGATTTGATCCAAAAAAAAAAAAAAAAAACCAACAACAACAAACAACTATAAGCTTTGGGGGTATATCATGTACACTGGCAAAAATTTTCTTCATTTAACTCCAATTAAATTTTTATGATGTGAACGTACTTAATTAACCATGAAAAGAAATTGAATATAATTTAGTGTATATAATATCTACTTACCCTTTGATTAATTCTGAAATTGGCCAAAGGAATCAAAATGCATCAAGAGAAATGCATGGTAGAACTTGATTCATCATCATTTGGTCCGGATCCCTTGCTTGGACTTGGCTTCTTCTTTTTCTTCTTAAAAGGAATCCCTCTTGCCATAGCTTGGCACTCCCTGACCTCCCTCAGGTAAACCCTGATTGCACCGCTAGCGAAAGGGTTGTTCTCCGGGGATCCTCCATTTTCTTCGTAGGCAGCCCTCAGCCTCCCTATGAGAGCATCCAGGCTGCCCCAGGCTTGCCTAAGTGGACATGTGCAAGGAGCAGGAGGCTCAGGCTGCCCATAAAACATGCAACCCTGGAGATGAACTTTGGTCTTCCCAAACTGGTCCAGATACCTAAGAAACTCCAGTACATGGTTGTAATTGCTCTGAGACAGCGCCACTGGAGGCCTCTGGTTCTTCAAGTACTGACCAAAAGTGTTCCAGTCCCTTCTCTTCTGGGATTCATAGCGGCTTGGTGTGGCAGGCTGCTGCTGATCATCATTCAGAGAACCTCCAGCAGACGATCCTTCGGCGAAATCTTTGCCTCTTTCTCTAGACATAGAGCGGTGATGACTGATCACTTAATGAATATTCCAGATGAACTTATTTTTTGTTTTGCTAAATAAAGGAACAAATAATGAAGGGCAGGAGGTGAAAGGAATAGGCAGTGAAAAATCAAAGATGGGAGGAAGACGGAAATCACATTATGGGCCCAGTGATGAGAAGACCTCCCATGGGGTCGGGGCCATATGATGCTTCCTGTTCATCTTTTTCTTCATCTTTTCATTTATATTCTTCTTTTCTAATAGTGCTATTACCACTAACTATACGTTTTGGTCTGTCAATAAGTTACAAAATTTGCTGTCTTTTGAAACTCGAATTGTTTTTTTTTTCTATAGAGACAACAACGCATGTTATTATTTTACGTATTATAACACAAGAATAGTTATTAGCACTATGAAAATTTCATTTTGCACACTTCACAAGTGTATCTTTCACTATGAAAATTTCATTTTGCACACTTCACAAGTGTATCTTTCTTTCTAGATACAAAAAATTTGGAGTGGAAAATAAGAATTTTGGAATGCCAATAAATTTTTTCTATAATAACAGGTAATTGATAAAGTTAATTTGTTACATTTATAAGAATATATTAATAATAAACAACTATACGTATTCTAATTTGAGTAACATAATAACAAATACGTACATAGTTAATATGTCCCCATTCTCGAAACTGGTCATAATTCGCTAGATATGTATATATTCGCTGGACATGCAATGGAAGTGCTCATAATCCAAAAAAAAAATCATTGCTAGGGAGAATCTTTTTGCTATCTTACTGTTTGTATTTGGCTTATTCAGAGGAAGAGTATTTGAAAGAGATCTGCTACAAAGAGAAAATACTGTTGTTGGTTTGGATGTTTTGCCAACTAAAATTTAATCTTCTTAAAAAGATTTAGTTTGAATAAATAAACAAAATAGGTACAATGTAGACAGTGAACATATAAACAACGAATATGGCTCACTATGGAAAGTACTTGTTATAGGAAAAATTATGATTTCATTGATAATGAAATAAAGTTACATTTGTGTATATATACAAGTTATAAACATACTTGTACTAATAGCTCAACCTAACAAACCAAAACTAACATAACAAACTAATAACCTCCCAAGTTTTATCTTTAGCAGATGCTATTACAATATTGCCTTTAATATGCCCCCTCAAACTGAGCTAAGGTAATAGCATGAATAGTTTGTCACGAAGAAGCAAAAACCTAGGTTGTGACACTATTTTGGGACAAATATCAGCAACCTGGTCTCGTGTGCAGACAAATTGTAGAGAAACTTCCTTTCCAAAAAAAAAAATTCCCGATGTAGTGGTAATCTATTTCAACATGCTTGGTCTGAGCATGAAAAATATAATTCTTAGCCAAAGAAATTGTTGATATTATCACACCATTATTAAGGAGGACAAGGAACATAATAGCCAATATTAACCAACAATTTACATATCCATGTGATCTCTGTAGCAGTATTGACAACTGATCTATATTCTGCCTTAAGTGATCTATATCTTACAAACAGAGAGTGATCAGATTAAGAACCAATGAAGCCAAGAGAGTTCAAAGCACCATGTAACTTTTCATACCAAGCTCTAGGAACTTGTTTCAATCCAATAAGGATTTGTGAAGTCTGCAAACATGTGATTTGATCTGTAGGATCCTCAAAAACAGGTAGTTGTTGCATAAAAATTGATTATGTAAGATGACTATGCTAGAAAGCATTGCTAATATCGAGATGATTCAAGAACTACTCAAACTGAGCTGCCAAAGTAAGAAGAAGCCTTATAGTCATAGGTTTTGCCATTAGACTTAAAGTTTCAGAGTAGTCTAATCCTTCTTGTAGATGAAAGACCTTAGCAATAGATCGAGCTTTATATCTATCTATGGAACCATCTGGTTTTCTTTTGATTCTGAAATCCCATTACATGATTATATCCTAAAAAGGTCTATCTCCTAATTGAGATAAATACACGTGTCTAGGGTTCATCTTACTAACCTGACCGTTAAACCCACCCCCGGGGGTCTTATACTTGTTCGATTGTTTGCTCTTTCACAAGTTATTCGGATTTGTACATCTTCACCACCTGCGGTGGTGCGTGAATTTGGTTCCAACATTAAAATTAATTGAATTGATTATTGATTGACTGAATTGTTGTTTAATTAGTTAACTGAATTCTTGTTTAATATATATATGATTATTGATTGTTGGTAATTGAACTGATTCCCCATATAATTGGATACCAGATAAATAGGGAACATAGCATCCAATAACATAATCATTACTGTTAAGGACCAGTGGTACTACTCCTGCCCTATATGCACTCCACTCCCTGAACGATTCACATAGATCATTTAGTGTTAATTAAGGCTGAAACTCAACATCACAAGTTCTCCATTGTCATCTGCACCAACCATAATATTCAAGGTCAACAATCTTTCAGAAGAATTCACAAGCCATTAACGCCTCGTTCAAATCACAAAACAACATAAACACAACACAAAAAGAAATGGAACTCCGACATATTTTTAATCTTGCACCCTTTTGTATTTGTCATCTCCTTGACAATTCTTGACTTTGCCATTGATTACATCATGTGGTTTGCATAAGATTTAGGTTTTTAAAAATATTTACTACTATTAAGAGGAGAGGTAAGAGTTCAAAACTATTGCATAAAGTTCATGATGAAGATATATATCAATTTTAATATGAAGCTCAAAACTATGTTAGTTTAAATATTATCAAGAAAAGTCAACGAGTAGTACGATTTAATGGTTAGTTTTGTAAGAGTATGAACATGAGATTGGATGTTTTGGTATTGTCTGTTGGGATCCAATAAGTATATGGAAGCCTTATTGGACTTGGCAAGCTGAATTCTTCTTTGTAAAGGATTCAGTGGTTGCGATTGAAACTGATATGTGATGGAAAAACATAAGTTGTTTTTCATTTGGATTCTAATAGAGAGTCCTTATTATGTAATGAGAGGATTATATATCTGTGTATATATATAGGTTGGCCTCTGCTCTCACAGATTAACACTCTTATTTCGGAACTGAGTCCTATTCTTAGTTTGAGCAATAAGCAATCTGACAAAAAGGAGAAGTTTGACAGCGCACAAGTTCTGGTTTGCAAGGCTTCATCAAGTGAGACTTCTTCACGTTAGTACATTGCAAATTCTTATATGTAATAAGGTTCTGAGTTTTGTTATGTACTAAATAGGGTCCCAAGCTTTGAAAATTGCAAATTATATACTAAACAGAGTTCAAAGCAAAGCAGTCTCTTCAACACAATTTGAGTTGTGGCAGCGCAAGGTACCTAATTTTAGCTATTTTCATGTCTGGGGTTGCAAAGCTAAAGCTAGGTTCTACAATTCTTGTGAAAGGAAGATGGATCCAAGAACGCAATCCTGTTATTTTATCGGTTATCCTGAGAAATCAAAAGGATACAGATTCTATATTCCCCAAGGTCATACTCGAGTTCAAGAAACACACAATGCTATGCTTTTAGAACATCAAGATATCTCATATTTATCAAGAGAAAATTTTGTTTTTGAAGAGATTGAACATACTCATGAACATTCTGTACAAGTAGATTCAAATCCCATTTTATTATTTCCTCATTCAATGACTACTAGTATACAAGATTTGGGTGATTAAATGGATTATGATGTTGGCAATACTAGGACAATGATCAATTTGCTGTAATTACTGATACTATCACAAAATTGAATCAACATGAATATGTGGAAGTGTCAACTCAAATTGAACCAAGAAAATCAAGTAAAATCTGAAGATCAACAACTGTGAGTTACTATGTTTATCTACAAGAAGCTGAATTTGACATTGGTGATATTGATGACCCACTCACATACACTTAGGCCATAGAAGGTTCTAAATCAGTTTTATGGCAAAATGCAATGAAGGATGAGTTGGAATCCATGTTTAAAAACAATGTTTGGACAATAGTGGAATCTCATATTAAGCCTATAGGTTGCAAGTGGGTGTACAAGACTAGGAAAGATGCTCAGGGCAGAATTGAGAGATACAAAGCAAGGCTAGTTGCTACGGGGTTCACTCAGAGAGAAGGCATCAATTACAATGATACCTTCTCACATGTTTCCTTTAAAGATTCAATGGGGTTGTTATGTCCTTGGCTGCACATTTTGATTTGAAGTTGCATTAAAGGGATGTGAAAACGACTTTTCTAAATGGAGACTTAGAAGAGAATATATTTATGAAGCAATCAACTGGATTTGTTGAAAGGGGGAAAGAAAATATGGTGTGCAAGCTAAACAAATCCATTTATGGCTTAAAACAGGCTTCAAGGCAATGGTATTTAAAGTTTGATCAAATTATTTCTTCCCAAGGTTTTGTAGATAACAAGTTAGATGACTGCATATACATTAAGTTTGTTGGTTCAAAGTTCATTTTTCTGGTGCTTTATGTTGATGATATTTTCCTTGCCAGTTCATGTCAACACTTGTTGCAAAGTACCAAGAGAATGCTAAGTGAGAATTTTGAGATGAAAGATCTTGGTGAGGTCCACTTTGCTGGGAATTGAAACTGTTAGAGATCGGAACTGAGACTTCTTGGCTTATCTCAAAAAGGCTACATTAATAGAGTGTTGCTAAGGTTCAATATGGAAAGTTGTAACAATGGTCAAGTACCAGTAAACAAGGGATATAAATTTTCGAGAGATTAGTGTCCCAAAACAGACTTAGAAGTTAAAAAGATGCAATCTAAACCTTATACTTTTCTGGTTGGAAGCCTTATGTATGCAACCATTTGTACAAGACCAGACATTGCCTTCATTGTAGGCATGCTAGGTAGGTTTCAAGCAAATTCAGGAGAAGCACATTGGGTAGCTATTAAGAAAGTTTTGAGATACTTGCAGAGAACCAAGGGTTATATGTTAGTATATGGCAAGAGTGACTCTCTGGAACTTGAGGGGTACATTGACTCGGATTTAGCTGGAGATGTGGATGATAGGAAGTCTACATTGGGTTATATTTTTGTGCTTAATGTAAGTGCAGTTCATGGAAAAGTTGAAAACAAATTGTTATTGCTACCTCTACTATGGAGGATGAGTTTGTAGCATGTTTTGAGGGCATGAAACAAGCGGCTTGGTTCATGAATTTCATATCAGAATTGAAGATTGTTAGTTCA